TGATATCCTCAGTTCGTTCCTTTTCAAAAGGCTGAAAACATTTTGAACATATATAGAGTGTCACAATGAGAAACGTTCGTCGACTCGGGCTACCTTTCAATGAATGAAGGACGCAATGAATGAAGGACGAGTTAGTTACAACAGGATCCGCTTTCAATATCTCTAACTCGATCCTCAGTTGCAATTCCATTGCGATCTTTCAAAAGTGAAAGGCTGAAAACATTTTGAACATATATAGAGTGTCACAATGAGAAACGTTTATCGGGTCGGGCTACCTTTCAATGAACAGAAAAAATGAAGGGCCTCAAGAGAAATAAATTGTAACTATATTTTTGCTATCGTTGAGCGAGTTATCTGGATATAGACTTAATATCCTCATAGGATTTATCAGGCTACAGACTGGATCCAATAATACAAAACGGAATGCTTTCGAATCTATATTACTGGTTGCGCATCCACGATAATAAACCATTTTATAATAAAGTTGGACCTAAACCGATTTTATGAAAAATTTCTAAGTTATAAAATATATAGAATACTTACTTCAACTTTTCATGAAATTAATATTATTTTATTATATATATTTTTTTTGTTTAACAATAACTTTATTTAAATCTTAATAAAAACTATAATTATATAATTAATAAAAATGTTTTAAATAATTTTATATATTGTTTATTATTATTATTTTAGTTTAATATATAAATAATGCATATGGATTAATTCAATGGTTAACAAAACAAATATATATATTATAATAATTAATATTATTTAATAAAAATAGTATAAGTATAAGAGAAAAAAAAAGAAGAAAATTATTTTTATAAAAAAAATAAACAAAAATATTAAAATTTATATTCTAAATGATAAAGCAACTAAAGTTTTAAATAATTCCAATATTGATTTTTAATTTAAAGAAACAAAAACATAAAACGTTTTTATTTATTAATAAAGATTTTTAAATTTTGTTTTTATAATTTTAACAAAAAAATTTTAAGTTTAAAACATAAAATTAAGAATTTCTAAATATTTGTTTTTTTTTTTGGTATACAACACAAAATGTTTAAATTTAGAAACTAATTTTAACAAAACTATAACAACAAATAATTAAGAAAAAAATATATAAACTATTTATAGAATAATTATTGCTTGTTTAACAACTAAAGCAAAAGAAATATATATGTTTAAAAAATATAATAAAGAAAAACAATGATGACATGTTAAGAGATAAAAAAAAATCTACACTCACAAAAATTATTAAATGAATTTAACATTATTTTAATAAAATTATATATTTTATTTGCAATGTGTTAATATGATTAGAATAGTTATTTTGAACAAGTGATTAATAGTGCAAAATTAATGTTAAATCCACTAACAAATTAAAGGTTTACGTAGCAAAACAAAGATTTTTTTAAAAAGCTTTAAAGTTTTATAAAAAATATTTTAAAAGTTTTTATGTGAAATTTTGGTAGAACAAATTAAACTTCAGAGCTTCGTATTTAACTAAAGTGTCAATAAGTTTAAATAAGCTTAAAGCTGAATTTAACTTTTTTTAAGAAAAATTAAAGCTTTATATACTGTTCTATTCAAAATTTAAATTTAACTTAACTTTCAACGAATTGAAGTTAAACATCAACTATTTTCAGAAAAACTACACTGTTTTGTGCAAAATTCCCGAGCTTTAAGCATGTTTAAATAAGCTTTAAGCTCGGTTTAACTTATTTGTGGAAGCTTTTATATTTGTTTTAGGCTGTTGTAAGTCAAAAGCACCTCTTTTAAACTTTAACTAAACTTTCTACAAGTAAAAACGAAATCTAAACCTATTTTGAGAAACACAAAAGCTTTTATATTTGATTTAATGTGGTCTATGCCAAAGCTCTGTATTTTTAGTAAAAGTTAAGTTTTTATAAGTGTTTTCTATCGCCCTAGTTATTTAATTAAATTTTTATCAAGATAAAACAAGCTTTTGCAATTGTTTTAAGCAGCTCTATGTGAAAGCACAGGAAAAATAAAGCTTTTATATTCGTTTTCTATTGAACTATGCCACAACATCTCTCTGTAAGTTTAACTAAACTTCCAATGGGTGAAAACTTGTATTAAACTGAGTTTAAACTATTTTGAGAAAAAACTAAAGCTTTTTGATTTAAACTATTCTATGCAAAAGCACTGTTAGACATTAATTTAACTAAGGTTAAGTAATGTAAAGTTTTGGAAACTTTTAAACTTTTATTTTGTGAAAAATAAAAGGTTTTATATTTGACTTAGACTGGTCTATGACAAAAGCTCTTCAAAAAGCTTTCATACTTGTTTTCTATCTAACTGTGCAACAACACTGCGCTTTGAGTTTAACAAAACGTGCAATAAGCGAAAACAAGGTATTAGACTGAGTTTAACCAATTTTGAGAAAAACAAAAGCTTTTATATTTGATTTAGACTTTTCTATGAAAAAGCACTGTTAAACTTTAGTTTAACTAAGCTTAAGTAATGTAAAGTTTTGGAAACATTTGAACTTTTATTTTAAGAAATATACCAGCTTTTATATTTGATTTATATTCGGTTGGATATCCGAAAGCTCTGTTTTTAGGAAAAATTAAGATTTTATATCTGCTTTCTATTTTCCTAAATAAGAAGAAACAAGCTTAGCATTTGTTGTATAATGTTCTGTGTGAAAGCACTGCTTTTTTTGAGGAAAAAGCTAAAGCTTTTATATTAGTTTTCTATTGAACTATGCAACAACACCTCTCTTTGAGTTTAAGTAAACTTTCAACAACTGAAAACTAGCTTTAAACAAAGTTTAAGCTATTTTAAGAAAAATAAAAGATTTTATATTTGATTTATACTGGGTATCCGTAAAGCTCTGTGTTTTTAGGAAAAATTAAGATTTCACATCTGTTTTCTATCGGCGTATATGCTTAACTAAACTTTTACCAAGAGGCAACAAGTTTTTGCATTTGTATTAGACTTAATACGAATTAAGCTTTCATATATGTTTTCTACTTCAACAGCACTAAAGCTTTAAGTTTAACAAAACTTTCAATAAATGAAAACAAGCTTTTAGACTAAGTTTAACCAAAATTGAGGAAAACAAAAGCTTGATTAAGACTGGTTATACCAAAAGCTCAGTTTATATGGAGATGAGATTAGTTGTTGTTTACAGCAAAAATTAGCAAATGGTTAAGTAAAGTTTAATTACAAAATAGAGTTTAACTAACACCTGAATATCTAAATCTAGAGTTTAACAACTTTTATAATGAACGGTTTTCGTTAAAATCTTAAACGGTAACTAGTTAAACTTTGAATTTAATTCCAAACCTAAGCTTAATGGGCATTTGCAATTCAGCACTCAGAGCTTTTCCCCAGAAGTTGAAATCAAAACTCCTCTCACCATAAACCCACATTTTGAGAGTCTAAATCAAAGTTTAAGGGGTATTTAAAACTTTGTTGGTTAAAGCACTATTTGAACTTTGAACTGAGTTCACCTTCTAGAAGCAGTTGAGCCTGGTGTATTATAGAAAAGCTGTAATTGTCACAACATTTGAATGATTCGATCTCTTTAATTGAGTGTTTCAGTTGTTGCAACAAACATTTGGTTAGGTTTTAAATTAAGCAAAACAGTTATACACTATACTGAGGTAATTAGTTTTGTTGTGACAAACTAATTTCGATTACAACAATCAAGTGCTTTGGTTGTCCCAATAGGAATTCTTGTTAAGCAAGCTGAAATGCAATTAAAATTCATTACCCATTGTTTTTAAACATACAATTTTATAACTGCAACATTACAAGATGGTTGCTGTAACCTAAACATTCGTTTGACAAGAAATTTGCTTGTGAGAACAAAAATTCTTAGAAGCTTTTCAAAAACATCTTTGTTTTTAGTTAGATATTGCTATTAACTACGTAAAACTATGTTGCTGCAATAAAGCTAACGCTGCTATTGCTTATGCTTCCGCTACTATTGCTGTTGCTGAAGTTGTTTGTTATATTTCCAACTCAAAACGTTTTGAATGTGATGATGAATTTCGTATAGATTTCGTGCTGTTAAGTGTTGGATTAATATTGTTGCTGATGTTGATGTTGTTGTTATTGTTAGTGCTTGAAGTGCATAATGATGATGGTGGTGTTGATGGAGTTGTAGTGTTTAATGTCAGCTCAACGTCCCTTCCATCTAAGGGAGGGGGTGAGCTAATGCGGGATCTTTTCGTTTTTAATGTCGTGTTATCCATATCTTGATATAAAATATGGTGTTGTTGTAGTTGTTGCTGATGTGGCTGTTGTTGTTGCTGAGTTAATAAATTATAACTGCTGCAAGTTGGTGTTGTTGTTGCTGTTGTTGTCTCTACAAACATGATGCTATCATTGTTGTTCTGGTGCTGATTTGGTTTTTGCTGTTGCTCATTGTTGTTATCATAGTCTTTAATATCATCATCACCAACATGTTTTAATGTTGTTGTTGTTGCTGCTGCTGTTGTTGTTTTTGCATTGCTGTTGGTGGCTTTTTGTATGATGTCTGTAAAACTATTTAAATTAATTGCACTGCATCTTTCGGCAATTGGTTGTATATTTTTCTTATCATTTGTTGTTAAAGTTGTGTTTTTGTTGTTGTTGTTGCTGTTATTAAATGTATAATTTTTTGTATTAATATTATCTAGTTGTTGTTTTTGTTGTTGTTTATTGATTAGTTGCTTTTCCATATTATAAAAACTATTTAAATTTATATTAATTGTATTATTAGCACTAAAATTCTTTGGTAAATCCACTGGGTTTAGTATAGATTTTATTGTTGTTGTTGTTGTTTTTGTTTCTGTTTGTGGTAAATTTTCACCATTCAATTGAAATGTGGATGTTGTTGTTGTTTTAGTTTTTGTGGTTTGTTCATTTTCTGGTATTTGAATTGTTTTAATTGATTTAAAAACTTGTGGTTTTTGTTGTTGTTGTTGTTCGTTTTTGCTTATTTTGGTTGTTGCTTTTGTTGTTGATGATGATGATGATGATGTTGTTTCATTTTTTATTGTTGTTGGTGTGGTTGTTATTAAACTATTTTTAGTATTGTTTAACTTATATTGATTTTTAAAGGTTTTCAAATTTTTACCAAATGTAGTTCTGGTTGACGTTCTCAAACCTGTTGTTGGAAAGAGGGGAAGTGGAAAATAATTAAGTGAAAAGATTAGTTGGTGGAAAATATTTAAATCATTTACATTTTTTTAGATATATTTACAGTGTATGTTTTATTTATTTGAAATCAGAAACATGTAGACATGTAGGTAAATACCAAAGTGTATGATAGTTTGTTTAAAAACAACAACATAAGTACTGTCTACACATGATTAAAATTTAGTCAATCAATTCATAGTTTACTAAATAGTCTTCAATAGTCTATAATCTAGTCTATAGTCTAGTCTATAGTCTAGTCTATAGTCTAGTCTATAGTCTAGTCTATAGTCTAGTCTATAGTCTAGTCTATAGTCTAGTCTATAGTCTAGTCTATAGTCTAGTCTATAGTCTAGTCTAGTCTATAGTCTAGTCTATAGTCTAGTCTATAGTCTAGTCTATAGTCTAGTCTATAGTCTAGTCTATAGTCTAGTCTATAGTCTAGTCTATAGTCTAGTCTATAGTCTAGTCTATAGTCTAGTCTATAGTCTAGTCTATAGTCTAGTCTATAGTCTAGTCTATAGTCTAGTCTATAGTCTAGTCTATAGTCTAGTCTATAGTCTATAGTCTAGTCTATAGTCTAGTCTATAGTCTAGTCTATAGTCTAGTCTATAGTCTAGTCTATAGTCTAGTCTATAGTCTAGTCTATAGTCTAGTCTATAGTCTAGTCTATAGTCTAGTCTATAGTCTAGTCTATAGTCTAGTCTATAGTCTAGTCTATAGTCTAGTCTATAGTCTAGTCTATAGTCTAGTCTATAGTCTAGTCTATAGTCTAGTCTATAGTCTAGTCTATAGTCTAGTCTATAGTCTAGTCTATAGTCTAGTCTATAGTCTAAGTCTATAGTTCTAGTCTAGTCTAGTCTATAGTCTAGTAGTCTAGTTTATAGTCTAGTCTATAGTCTAGTCATTAGTCTAGCTTTATAGTCTAGTTCTATAGTCTAATCTATTTAGTCTAGTCTATAGTCTAGTCTTAGTTCTAAGTCTATAAGTCTCGTCTATAGGTCTAGTCTATAGTCTAGTTCTATAGTCTAGTCTATAGTCTAGTCTATAGTTCTAGTTCTATAGTCTAGTCCTAGTTAGTTCTATAGTCCAGTCTATAGTCTAGTACTATAGTCTAGTCTATAGTTAGTATATAGTCTAGTCTATAGTCTAGTCTATTAGTCTTAGTCTATAGTCTAGTCTATAGTCTAGTTCTATTAGTCTAGTCTATAGTGCTAGTCTATAGTCTAGTTCTATAGTCTAGTCTATAGTCTAGTCTATAGGTCCTAGTCTATAGTCTAGGTCTATAGTCTAGTCTATAGTCTAGTCTATAGTCTAGTCTATAGTCTAGTCTATAGTCTAGTCTATAGTCTAGTCTATAGTCTAGTCTATAGTCTAGTCTATAGTCTAGTCTATAGTCTAGTCTATAGTCTAGTCTATAGTCTAGTCTATAGTCTAGTCTATAGTCTATTCTTCTAAGTCTAGTCTCTAGTCTAGTCTATAGTCTAGGTTCTATAGTCTAGTCTATAGTCTAGTCTATAGTCTCGTCTATAGTCTAGTCTATAGTCTAGTCTATAGTCTAGTCTATCGTCTAGCTTATAGTCTAGTCTATAGTCTAGTCTATAGTCTAGTTCAGTCTATAGTATAGTCTAAGTCTAGTCTATAGACTAGTCTATAGTATCGTCTATAGACATAGATAGACTTAGTGACTAGTCTAGTCTGTAGTCTAGTCTATCGATAGTCTATAGTCTAGTCTATGGTCTAGCTATAGTCTAGTCTATAGTTAGTCTATAGTCTAGTATAGGTCTTGTCTATAGTCTAGTCTATAGTCTAGTCTATAATTCTAGTCTATAGTCTAGTCTATAGTCTAGTCTATAGTCTAGTCTATAGTCTAGTCTATAGTCTAGTCTATAGTCTAGTCTATAGTCTAGTCTATAGTCTAGTCTATAGTCTAGTCTATAGTCTAGTCTATAGTCTAGTCTATAGTCTAGTCTATAGTCTAGTCTATAGTCTAGTCTATAGTCTAGTCTATAGTCTAGTCTATAGTCTAGTCTATAGTCTAGTCTATAGTCTAGTCTATAGTCTAGTCTATAGTCTAGTCTATAGTCTAGTCTATAGTCTAGTCTATAGTCTAGTCTATAGTCTAGTCTATAGTCTAGTCTATAGTCTAGTCTATAGTCTAGTCTATAGTCTAGTCTATAGTCTAGTCTATAGTCTAGTCTATAGTCTAGTCTATAGTCTAGTCTATAGTCTAGTCTATAGTCTAGTCTATAGTCTAGTCTATAGTCTAGTCTATAGTCTAGTCTATAGTCTAGTCTATAGTCTAGTCTATAGTCTAGTCTATAGTCTAGTCTATAGTCTAGTCTATAGTCTAGTCTATAGTCTAGTCTATAGTCTAGTCTATAGTCTAGTCTATAGTCTAGTCTATAGTCTAGTCTATAGTCTAGTCTATAGTCTAGTCTATAGTCTAGTCTATAGTCTAGTCTATAGTCTAGTCTATAGTCTAGTCTATAGTCTAGTCTATAGTCTAGTCTATAGTCTAGTCTATAGTCTAGTCTATAGTCTAGTCTATATTCTAGTCTATAGTCTAGTCTATGGTCTAGTCTATAGTATAGTCTATAGTCTAGTCTATAGTCTAGTCTATAGTCTAGTCTATAGTCTAGTCTATAGTCTAGTCTATAGTCTAGTCTATAGTCTAGTCTATAGTCTAGTCTATAGTCTAGTCTATAGTCTAGTCCATACTCTAGTATGTAGTTTAGTATACAGTCTAGTCTATAGTCTTGTATACGGTATATTCTATAGTCAACTTTATAGTCTTGTCTAGTATATGGTATAGAGTTTAGTCTATAGTCGAGTCCATAGTCTAGTCAATTTTCAGTTTTTTTCTTGTCTAGTCTATAGACTAGTATATAGTCTAGTCTATAGTCTAGAGCAGTCGATAGTCTAGGCTATTCTCTAGTCTATAGTCTAGTCTATACTCTAGTATATAGTCTAGTATACAGTCCAGTCTATAGTCTAGTCTAGTATATAGTCTAGTCTACTGTCTAGTCTATAGTCTAGTATATAGTCTATTCTATAGTCAACTTTATAGTCTTGTCTAGTCTATGGTTTAGTATATAGTTTAGTCTATAGTCTAGTCAGTTTATTTCTTGTCTTGTGATCTAGACATAAAAAGTGTGAATGATAATGATTACAAATAACATGTGCACTTGCGAAATATTAAACAGAGTGTAAAATAGTGGTGAAATTAAACAAACATTCTATGTTGCACAAAGAGAACAAGTGATCTTAAAACAAAAAGTACCAAGTGAATGACAGAACACACATACATACAGCACCCATAGTTCATAAATTTAAAGATCATAAAATAAGTTGCAAGTAAAAGTGATCAATAACAATAACAGTGTGTGAGTGCAGCAACAAAGACAATAAAGGAGCAGAGTAGTAAGGCTAAGAGAGAGAGAGAGAAAGACAGACATTGTAAGTGAATGACTTTATATATTTGTTTGCTATGTGTATGTTTGTTGAATTTTTTATCAGATTTTGTTGTTGTGATTCAATTTGTTTTGTTTACCTTCAAAGTTTAACATCCTATTCTGATAGTTAAACAAATTGGTTTGTTTATAACATGGCTCATAGGAATAACGACAATTGGTTAAATAATCATTATCATCAAGACCATCTCCTCCTCCGCCTGATCTTCTACTTGTACTAAGATGACTACTACTACTAACGCCACTACCATAACCACGGCTACAGCTATTACTACTACTAGTATTTTTACAATTACTACTATCACTAGTACTATTTAGTAAAGTTACATTGGTGTTATTATCATTATTATCGGCAGCAGTAGCAGCAACAACAATAATATTGCTGCTGCTGTTGTTCTTGGCGAAATTGATAATATCTTTGTTGCTATTATTGCTGTTGGTGTTGTTAGCTATGGCAGTAATAGTGTTGGTGGTAGTTTTGCAAGTGTTGTTGTTGTTGCTGTTAGTATTTAACTCCTTATTATTAACATTATCCGGAATAGAAATGCCAGTATTGCTAGTGATAGTATTAGTGCTTAAAGTAGTTTCTGTTGTTATTGCTGTTGGAATAACACTTGTTTCAAACAAGGAGGGAGGGGAAGTTAAATTTGCTATTAAAGCTGTTGTTGTTGCTGTTGCAATTTTACCACTACTACTATTATTATTATCATCATCATCATTGTGAGAATTTAGATCATTAACTGAGCGTGTTTTTATTTGAGTGGAAGTGGTACCTAAAGGTTTAATCAACTTGAATTGTTTATGTTTTGATTCTTGATCTTGAGGCTGCTCTTGTTGATATTGTTGCTCTTGTAGTTGTTGTTTTGTTGTTTGATCTTCGTTATCATTACAATGTCTTTGTTGTTTTAATAGTTCTTCTTGTTTATATATTTTCGCATCATTATCATTCTGATTAGATTTTTTAGCATGCACATGATGTGTTTCATTAAATTTGTTGTTGTTGTTATTATTATTTAATAATGTATTTTTTTTTTGTTATTTATATGTAAAAATTAAAAAAATTAAAAAAAATCATGTATTTAAGTGTTTGTTTAGTGTGTATAGGGGGGTATGTAAGATATTTTAAAGAAAATATGAGTAATTTGTTTTAGAAATTGATTTTTTGTTGTATTCAAGTAATCAAAAAACAAAAGTAATTTTTGTAATAAATGATTAGTTACAAAGTTTGTTTCATGTATTCCTAATTTTTCTTATATTTAGACGAGAACATGCAACATGTATTAACTAACCTCACTATCTTGACAAACAGCATCACCATTATCGTCTTCGCCATCTTTGGGTCTCGTTACAAATTGTATATCTTGAGAGGGATCTTCGGATGCCAAATGAGCGCGGAACTGTTTGTTCCTGTCAAAAGATAAGAAAAATGATTAAGTTGTGGTGTGTTAATGAAGCAAGATACATATATGCATGAAGGGTTTTCTTGTCATCATAGAACCAACTTAGACGGATGTATACGAGGTTTTCTCTTTATGTTTTGAGAAATTAGAAAATAATATATTTTATATAGTCTTGTTTACAATAAAGTCTAAGGAGTGTTCTAGTATATATGTAGTCTAGTCTATAGTCTAGTCTATAGTCTAGTCTATAGTCTAGTCTATAGTCTAGTCTATAGTCTAGTCTATAGTCTAGTCTATAGTCTAGTCTATAGTCTAGTCTATAGTCTAGTCTATAGTCTAGTCTATAGTCTAGTCTATAGTCTAGTCTATAGTCTAGTCTATAGTCTAGTCTGTAGTCTAGTCTATGGTCTAGTCTGTAGTCTAGTCTATAGTCTAGTCTAGTAGTCTATAGTCTAGTCTATAGTCTAGTCTATAGTCTAGTCTATAGTCTAGTCTATAGTCTAGTCTATAGTCTAGTCTATAGTCTAGTCTATAGTCTAGTCTATAGTCTAGTCATAGTCTAGTCTATAGTCTAGTCTATAGTCTAGTCTATAGTCTAGTCTATAGTCTAGTCTATAGTCTAGTCTATAGTCTAGTCTATAGTCTAGTCTATAGTCTAGTCTATGGTCTAGTCTATAGCCTAGTCTATAATTCTAGTCAATAGTCTAGTCCATAGTCTAGTCTATAGTCTAGCCTATAGTACAGTCTATAGTCTAGTCTATAGTCTAGTCTAGTTCGTCTATAGTCTAGTCTATAGTCTAGTCTATAGTCTAGTCTATAGTCTAGTCTATAGTCTAGTCTATAGTCTAGTCTATAGTCTAGTCTATAGTCTAGTCTATAGTCTAGTCTATAGTCTAGTCTATAGTCTAGTCTATAGTCTAGTCTATAGTCTAGTCTATAGTCTAGTCTATAGTCTAGTCTATAGTCTAGTCTATAGTCTAGTCTATAGTCTAGTCTATAGTCTAGTCTATAGTCTAGTCTATAGTCTAGTATATAGTCTAGTCTATAGTCTAGTCTATAGTCTAGTCTATAGCTAGTCTATAGTCTAGTTATAGTCTAGTCATAGTATAGTCCTATAGTCTAGGTCTATAGTCTAGTTATAGTCTGCTCTATAGTCTCATCTATAGTCTAGGTCTATAGTCTAGTCTATAGTCTATAGTCTATTTTCTAGTACTATAGTCTAGTCTATAGTCTAGTCTATAGTCTAGTCTATAGTCTAGTCTATAATCTAGTCTATAGTCTAGTCTATAGTCTAGTCTATAGTCTAGTCTATAGTCTAGTCTATAGTCTTTTAGTCTATAGTCTGTCTATAGTATAGTCTATAGTCTAGGTCTATAGTCTATCTATAGTATAGTCTATAGTCTAGTCTATGTCTAGTCTATAGTCAGTCTATTAGTTAGTCTAAGTTAGTTTATAGTTAGGTCTATAGTCTAGTCTATAGTCTAGTTTATAGTCTATCTATAGCCTAGTCTATGTCTAGTCTATAGCTAGTCTATAGTCTAGTCTATAGTCTAGTCTATAGTCTAGTCTATAGTCTAGTCTATAGTCTAGTCTATAGTCTAGTCTATAGTCTAGTCTATAGTCTAGTCTATAGTCTAGTCTATAGTCTAGTCTATAGTCTAGTCTATAGTCTAGTCTATAGTCTAGTCTATAGTCTAGTCTATAGTCTAGTCTATAGTCTAGTCTGTAGTCTAGTCTATGGTCTAGTCTGTAGTCTAGTCTATAGTCTAGTCTATAGTCTAGTCTATAGTCTAGTCTATAGTCTAGTCTATAGTCTAGTCTATAGTCTAGTCTGTAGTCTAGTCTATGGTCTAGTCTGTAGTCTAGTCTATAGTCTAGTCTATAGTCTAGTCTATAGTCTAGTCTATAGTCTAGTCTATAGTCTAGTCTATAGTCTAGTCTATAGTCTAGTCTATAGTCTAGTCTATAGTCTAGTCTATAGTCTAGTCTATAGTCTAGTCTATAGTCTAGTCTATAGTCTAGTCTATAGTCTAGTCTATAGTCTAGTCTATTAGTCTAGTCTATTAGTCTAGTCTATAGTCTAGTCTATGGTCTAGTCTATAGTCTAGTCTATAGCCTAGTCTATAATCTAGTCAATAGTCTAGTCCATAGTCTAGTCTATAGTCTAGCCTATAGTACAGTCTATAGTCTAGTCTATAGTTCAGTCTATAATCTAGTCTATAGTCTAGTCTATAGTCTAGTATATTGTCTAGTCTAGTCTATAGTATAGTATATAGTCTATTCTGTAGTCTAGTCTATAATCTAGTATATAGTCTATTCTATGGTCTAGTCTATAGTCCAGACTATAGTCTAGTTCATAGTCTAGTTCATAGTCTAGTTTATAGTCTAGTCTATAGTCTAGTCTATAGTCTAGTCTATAGTCTAGTCTATAGTCTAGTCTATAGTCTAGTTTATAGTCTAGTCTATAGTATAGTCTATAGTATAGTCTGCAGTCTAGTCTATAGTCTAGTCTATAGTCTAGTCTATAGTTTAGTTTGCAGTCTAGTCTATAGTCTAGTCTATAGTCTAGTCAATAGTCTAGTCTATAGTCTAGTCTGTAGTATACTCTATAGTCTCTAGTCTAGTCTATAGCCTAGTCTATAGTCTAGTCTATAGTCTAGCCTATAGTCTAGCCTATAGTTTAGTCTGTGGTCTAGTCTATAGTCTAGTCTATAGTATAATCTATAATCTAGTCTATAGTCTAGTCTGTAGTCTAGTCTGTAGTCTAGTCTGTAGTCTAGTCAATAGTCTAGTCTATATCCTAGTCTATAGTCTAGCCTATAGTCTGGTATACAGTCGAGTCTATAGTCTAGTTCACAGTCTAGTTTATAGTCTATTCAATAGCCAAGTCTAGAAATATCCTAACATTATTTTCTGATTATACGCCCTTAAGTTTCATGGATTGATATTCTTCCTTTCATAGAACGTTTATGACTTATTTAACAGAGATTCCACCTATGTTCTTTCTTTTGAATGATTTTTTTCATTTTTTCTTACTCAGCAATAAAGGATTGGTCTCAACTTGGTACAAAAACTTTATACAAGATAATTCATAACTGATTTTATATTGTCATAACTAAAGAAAAACTTAAAGGTAAAAAATAAACACGATTTCTGAATAAATTTCAGTGCATTCATTCCTTTTTCTTTTCTCTCAAATTGTATAGTAATGTAAATAAGAACATCAGCAAAAATATATACAGATATTTGTATGATTCTTATATCAAACTCATGATTACCTTAATTCCAATTGTTGCATTTGCTGAAAATGCTTCAGTTTTTGATTGGCAACACGTAATTTCTCTTCTAAAGCTGCATTTTCAACACATTTGATGGAATATTTTTCGGAGAATGATAGAATTTCTTGACGCAATTCTTCCAATTCTTCTCTGTAATTATATGGAGTAAATAAGTAACATAACGAAAAGTTGCAGAATTATTTAATATATGACTTATAAATCATCTTTAGGTTTTTTTCTCTTTTTTTTTTGGGTTTAAAAAATTTTACACATAATAAAGGGAATAAATAATAGCAGTACATGAAAAGTATACAAAATGCAAGTACTAGTAGGCATATGTAAGTAATATTTCTTTAAAAGAGCTTGAAAAAACGAGAGTGGTGAGAAAAGTTAGGTTAAAACTATTACAAGAAAGATTTGTAAAACGATTTCTTGCTTTTATTGAAACTAGAACTGAACTAGAACTAAACTAGGACTGAGCTAGAACTGAGCTAGGAATGGATAGAACTGAACTAGAACTGAACTAGAACTGAACTGAACTAGAACTGAACTAGAACTGAACTGAACTAGAACTGAACTAGAACTGAACTGAACTAGAACTGAACTAGAACTGAACTAGAACTGAACTGAACTAGAACTGAACTAGAACTGAACTAGAACTGAACTGAACTGAACTGAACTAGAACTGAACTAGAACTGAACTAGAACTGAATAGAACTGAACTAGAACTGAACTAGAACTGAACTAGAACTGAACTAGAACTGACTAGAACTGAACTAGAACTGAACTAGAACTGAACTAGAACTGAACTAGAACTGAACTAGAACTGAACTAGAACTGTACTAGAACTGAACTAGAACTGAACTAGATCTGAACTAGAACTGAACTAGAACTGAACTAGAACTGAACTAGAACTGAAGCTAGAACTGAACTAGAACTGAACTAGAACTGAACTACAACTGAACTAGAACTGAACTAGAACTGAACTAGAACTGAACTAGAACTGAACTAGAACTGAACTAGAACTGAACTAGAACTGAACTAGAACTGAACTAGAACTGAACTAGAACTGAACTAGAACTGAACTAGAACTGAACTAGAACTGAACTAGAACTGAACTAGAACTGAACTAGAACTGAACTAGAACTGAACTAGAACTGAACTAGAACTGAACTAGAACTGACTAGAACTGAACTAGAACTGAACTAGAACTGAACTAGAACTGAACTAGAACTGAACTAGAACTGAACTAGAACTGAACTAGAACTGAACTAGAACTGAACTAGAACTGAACTAGAACTGAACTAGAACTGAACTAGAACTGAACTAGAACTGAACTAGAACTGAACTAGAACTGAACTAGAACTGAACTAGAACTGAACTAGAACTGAACTAGAACTGAACTAGAACTGAACTAGAACTGAACTAGAACTGAACTAGAACTGAACTAGAACTGAACTAGAACTGAACTAGAACTGAACTAGAACTGAACTAGAACTGAACTAGAACTGAACTAGAACTGAACTAGAACTGAACTAGAACTGAACTAGAACTGAACTAGAACTGAACTAGAACTGAACTAGAACTGAACTAGAACTGAACTAGAACTGAACTAGAACTGAACTAGAACTGAACTAGAACTGAACTAGAACTGAACTAGAACTGAACTGAACTAGAAATGAACTAGAACTGAACTAGAACTGAACTGAACTAGAACTGAACTAGAACTGAACTAGAACTGAACTAGAACTGAACTAGAACTGCTAGAACTGAACTAGAACTGAACTAGAACTGAACTAGAACTGAACTAGAACTGAACTAGAACTATATCTGAACTAGAACTATATCTGAACTAGAACTGAACTAGAATTGAACTAGAACTATACTACAACTTTACTAAAACCGAACGAGAATTGAAACACTTTTCACACCACCCTCGTTTAATTTCAGATTTGTATTTTACAATCATAAGTAAAATTAAGCAAAACACTAAAAGAGAAAAAAAAGTACAGAAAATACATACTCCTTCGCCTTGGTTGAATCTAAAGTACGTTCGCCTCTTTGTTGAAATTGTTTAAGAAATTCTTGTTTAAAGCGTGCAACTTCACGTTGTACTTCACTTTGGTGTGCTTTACGCATGGCATCAAGAGCAGCTAATGTAGCCTAAAGGTGATGGTTAAACAAAAAATGTAAAGAAAAAACTAAATAAGTACAAAATCTTTAAGAAAAATATAAAAGTATCAAGGAAAAATCAAGGTTTATTATATCTTTTCTTTTCATTGCTGTTGCAAGTTTAGCAGTAACAGCAGTAAAAGCCGAAAAAAAGGAGTTACCAAATGAAAACAACAGTGTCTGAGTAGATGATTTCTGCCTCATAATTATATATGACATGGTTGTTATACTTGTGTATGTACATATGAATACCAGAGGAGTACCATTATAGCAGACAGTCAAGTTCGTATGCCTTAAGTTAACTTAACATACCTGAGTTTCTTCAGCCAAGGCTGTTTCCTTTTCGATCAGCAAACGTTCAATTTCTTGCTTATGTTTTTCCTCTAAATCATTTAGAGTGCGTCTATGTGACGATTCCATGGCTGACAAACCCTTTTCACAAAGTGTCTGAAAAAGAAGCAGAGCAAAGAAGAAAAGATTTTAATAAATGTTAATAAAAATATGATAAATGATCTTAACAGAAATTTGCATTTTGATAATGCAATTTTTGTTATAATTTACATTCAATTTATTTTTTCAAACTTACCCTTAATTGTTCTATTTCCGATTGATAACGTTGACGGAAGGACTCCTCATCGACAACATTTGGCAATTCCGAACAATGTGACAACATTTGATCACGATATGCCTGCTGCAGGCATTCCATTTGTTTGCCATGCTCCATTTCCAACAGCTCTAAACGTTTTTCAAAACGTCTACTTCTCTCCTGTTCTTTGACTAGCTGTGCTTGTATGTAATCACGTTCCTGCAACAGCATTACGTACTCATCATCTTGGCGTGCACATTTCATTGTTAAAGCATCACTTTCCTCCTGATACGAACGCACTTTTTCCTCTTCCGCCTCGAGGCGTTTCAATAACTCATGCTGTTCACCTTGGGTGGCTTGCAGTGTTAGCTCCTTTGCATTGAGCCTCTGTGTTGCTGCTTGCAGTTCACGTTCACGCTCCTCCATTAGCTCTTCGCTTTTATTCAAGTCTTGGTTAATGGCATTCTTTTCAGCCTCCAGGCAACGTATGGCTGTACGTTGGTGTTCGACTTGTTGCATTAGAGCTGTTAAATCTTTGGCATGTGACTGTTGTAAACGTAAAATTTCACTTTCATGCTGTTCCTGGAGACTGTGCAACTTTTCGCGCACCTGTAAACAATGCTGGCATGAAGCATTCAATTTGCGATGAACCTCTTGTAGAAGTTGATCGGCTCGTTTGCGTAATTCACAGCATTTGTGACAAACATCTTGTAGACTTTCAATGGATATTTCGGTACGTGGTATGTGCTCATTGGTAGATGCTGTCGCTTCGCATTGCAAAGCTATTAGAGAATCTTCCAGTTGACTGAGGAAGGTCGAAATGTCACACAACACCTGACGATCGCTGAGAAAATCAACAGCATGTTGTTTATACATAAATTCGAAATCAGCTTCCAGGAGTATATCATCGGGATTATTAATTTGTAAATCATTTGATAGTTCCTCGAAGAGATTTTCATATTTCTGTAAAGCGGTTATACCCAATCGTTTGACCTCCTTTTCTTCATCTATTTTGGAAGTAGAATGGTTGGCATAATCACCTCTTAAAACATCAATACGTGCATCTACCAAAGCTTTGTGAGCTATGATATCGGCAAACTCTGATAGTAATTGCCGTCCTTCGGAAGCTTTATGTTCATGCTGTAAATGCATGCGCCATTGTCCACGTTTCATTTGCTGCATAGTTTCCTCATAGCACTGTGTTAGTTGTGTAACAGCCAATTCCATTTCTCTTCTTAGAGCATCGTGCACAGCATCAGCGAATTTCTCAAAAGATAAACGTTCCTCGGAAGTAAGAGTGTAGCCGAAAGAGGGTGCAATCGAGGATTCTAGTCTTTCGGCATTACGCATCATTATATGGGCAATTTCAGATTGCACCAATTCCGCATTGACAGTTTCTTGAGCTTGACGCCAAGCTTCCTGAACAGCACCTTGCACTAAATCATTGGCTGACATATAGCTTAAAGTTTCAGCCGCTAAGCTGGTGGCCAAATTTTCCATGGCGTTATTTTTATAACGTTTAGCTATGACATTGATTTCATTCTGTTGGCGTAAAAGATCATCTAACATATTTTGATCTACTGGTTCCATAGTTAGTTTGACATCTTGTTGGGCCTGTGTACCATGTGTCTTCTCATAAGAGGATAATAAAAGACGCCGTGCTAAGACTCCCGCCAATATATCTAGACTGCCGCTAGTTTTTACGGTGCATTTTCCTTGTAATTTGGCTTTTAGCATAGACATTAGATGTGAAGTTTCAGCTACTTCAGCCCTAGTTTGACGTTCACAAAACATTTCTGGATTTTCTGCTCTCTCTACAGAGTCTCTAAGTTTTCCAAAGCACACACTTTCAAAGGCTATTCTTTCTGCCAACAGTTCCAAATCCTTACGTTTAGTCAATTCATTGCGTTCCCTCAGCATACGTCTTTGCTTTAGCAATTCTGCCAATTTACATCTCAGTTGAGATTCTAATTGGGTTAAAGCTTTTTTAACAGGACTAGAGTCGGGTAACATATAGACACTGGGTTGTGGTAGTTCATGATGGGTACTTTGCAGTACACAGGTTTCAGTTGATTCCCTTATTAACTTGACTACCTCATGGAGACAACGCTCTACAAAACGGTAGGAATCTTTGCGTTCGGTTATTGGTGACACTGAACGTCTAGTGCGGGAAGATCTTAAATTTTGTAATTGACTTAGACTTTGTTCTAGACGATCTTTGCTTGTTACCAGTACACTTTCCAGACATCTTAAACGTTCGATTAAATGTTCCGATAACCTTATATTACCGGCTGGTGAGGCTCTCGAAGGAGAATCTAAATTTGGTGTAGCCGAATTGGGTGTGGGTGTACAAGAAGAACTTCTAGAACTATTGACTCCTTCACAACGTTTTTCCAAATCATTAACTCTCACCAAAAATTGTAAAGAGTCAGAGCTTCCCACAGCCGATAGACTTGCATCCAATGAACGTCTCCTAGATGATTTTTTAATGGTGGCTCGAGCAGCTTGAGGATTTTCCATAATTGGTTGTTTTATATCCAATTGATGAGTTTTTTCCAACTCATCTATTTTACTTTCCAATTCTCCCAATTTCACTTCCAATTCTTTGGATACCGTTAACTGTTCTTTGCCTTTAAGTGATAGAGATCTTCTACGTTCGGACTTGGCTAATTTCTGCTTAAGTGTTCTAACCTGCCTCTCTGATGAGCTATATTTAAGGGTGAGATCTTGTATACGGGCCGCCATCATTTGCAATTGGGATTGATCTTCTATCTCTTTGCGTTCCAGATCTTGTCTCAAAGAAGCGTATGAAATTTCCAAAGAATCATATTGATTTTGTGATTCTTTTAGTTCACGCTTCATGGCTCTAATTTCATTGACTGCCTTTTCAAAGCGTCCCTTTAATTCACTATATTCCTCCGCCAAGGAATCACGTTCGAGACCATAGGGATCTATGTCATTGATTTGCGTTAGATCACTTAAGGAATCCATACGTTTCATTTTACTTTTTTGCATATTAATGAAACTAGCTGGACTATAGCTTTCCATTTCTCTTAAACGCTTGTAAAGATTTTCATTTTCTTCTATGCCACTCGCTAGGCGATCTTCTAAACCTTTAATTTTTCTTTGGCTTTCTTCCAGTTCATCCGTTAGTCTCTCTATGATTTCAGAGGCATTTCTCTTGGCATCATCTAATTGAGTGCTGAGACTCTCCCTGACTTCTTCCATTTCATGGATGCGACTGTTAAGCTCTTGCTCAGTACGCTCCAAGGTATTGAGCAGTTCAGACATGCGGGTTTCCCGTTCTTTGGCTTCATCTCTTAACATATCGCGTTCCTTTTCCACTACACTCAAACGGAACTGCAGTTCTTTATCCACATTCAGGTTAATTTCCTCATGGACGGTATGAATAACAGGTAGTTCATCGGAACCCACACTATCTACCGTGCTACGTCTCGAAGAGGGAGGAGATGATCTTGATCTTTTGTGCATTCTAGGGCAGGGAGTAGTGGTACGTGTACGCATTCTATCTTTGGCTCTCATAATATTAAGGGGTGCAGGTGGAGAGGGTGATAACGGAGAACCCCAATCACCTATACTATCGCGTCGGCCACCTTCAGAGGCCGTACGATACTCTTCATCCGAAGAGAAATGCATGGCAGTCTTTGGTGTTATGGGAGTCTGGGGACTTATTAAAGATGATTTGGGTGAACATGAACTACTGACATTGGTGATTATCACCTGGGGACTAGTTTCAGTTGTTGTTAATTTTTTCACACTCTTGTTACTATTGTTGTTATTGTTGTTGATCCTTTGTGCCTTTATGAAATCCTTTTCAATTTCACTTTTCATATCATCACTTGTATTATCTTTGATTATAAGCTCTGTTGTAGGCATAGATTTATTGCTGCCATTATGAATTTCATTCGTACCCAAGGTAGAAGAAGAATGCTTCATTATGCTGCAATTGCTTTGGCTACCATTATTATTGTTATTGCTATTGTTGTTGTTACTGCTGCTGCTGCTTTGTATAACAACAGCAGGATTTTGTTGCAGACCTGCAGCATTTCGTAGAATTGCTATCCAACTATTACGTGAATTGGGCGATAGACTAGCCAGTATTAGGCGCCGTTTATCCCATGTTGTTAGTTGGAAAGCATAATTTCTATTCGCATTTACTTCAGCCACATTTGTAAGACTATTAACATCCAATACACCATCCAAGACACCACGTTCTTCCGAAACAGGATCACGATAATAGAACAGAGCAGCACCACTTAAAGTGAACCAATGTTTCGTCCAATCACCAGTACGATTATCTTGCTTCATTAGCCAACCTTTTTTGGCATTGAGTGATTCAACAATTGCGGCCGGTAGTGTGGTAGTGGTTGTGGTGGGTGGTGTTGCAATATTTGCTGTCGGTGGTGGTGGATTCACACGCAATTCTACTGTTTTGGCCAAATAGTTAGAAGAGAGATCATCTAAATTACAACCACCATCGGGATCACCACGTTCGAGTGCTTGTTTCTGTTGGCGTCGGTTTAAATTTTGATTGCTTTGTAGTTGTTGCATTTGATAACGTGGACTAGATTTGCTTCGGCTGTTGTTGTTGTTGTTGTTTGTGGTATTCGCCTGGCTGGAAGATGACACCATAACTGGTGGAATTTTCTTAACAATGGCGGATACTATGGCGGGCGTTGAATTTGAGGCCAATGGCAAAGACTTTGGTCTTAAATGACTTTGTTGTTCTAATGCTGCCGTTGATGATGACGACGACGATGTTGTATGTTTGCTGTTTGGCCTATAAAAATCGGTTTCATCTCTAGAATTGTTAACATCTTGTTGCTGCTGTTGCGTTTTGTTATTGTTGCTGCTATTGCTGTTGTGTTGATGCAAATGTGTATTCAGAACATTGTTAACAGCCGTTGTTGTCCAACGATTCTTTTGTTGTTGACTTAGATTGGTAATGGTATTGGCCAGATCCTTAATAGTCTTTTCATCTCGCCGTATATCTTCGATTAGCAGACAGGGTGGTGAAACTGCAATTAGAACAAGAAAGTAAAAATTAATTTATATTTTTTTTGTAAAGATATGATCTTAGTACTAAAAAAGGCGTTCCCTTGGAAGAAAAAAGAAATAAGTTAAAATTATGGTTAACTGGTAATTACATTTGAAAGTGTTTTTTATTTTTCGTTTACTACCATAAAAATAATGTTTGAATTTAATAAAATATTTTTAAAATATGAGAGCAATTTAAAGTAAAGTTATTTATTTATGTGTTTTTTTTTGCAGAGTCTACTTAATAATTTATAGTTTATTTTATGCTTATAAGAATCATGATTAAAAGTCTGATATTCAGTTTGTGTTCTTTCAGTGTCTAAGAAAGACACCAATGATGGCTGGAGTTTAAAAATAACGTTCTTTTTTGTCTTTACTTATATTAAAAGCATTCAAAAACTTATGTTATGTATATTTATTATCATGTTTATTATGAATATGAATCAGTTTTAGCCGAAATCAAAATCGATTTATAAGAAAACGGCAAAAAAAACATCACTGTCTAAACATGTAGTGCGAACAAGTATTTAACTGAAGTTTTAAGGTGACCAGTTCATAATGAGATCAAACTTTAATAATCGTTCATATATTTTATAGATAAATTTTTATGATTTCTTAACTCCGCTCCCCTGTGTAGTTCATTGTCAGAGTTATAGTTGGTAATCGAACCCACAACCTCCGTACTGACAGACTAAAATACTACCAACAAATCTAGGGTGTTACATACTATTATGTAGTCGATAGCAGTCTACTATTAGTCTACTATATAGTCGAGACTATGAAGGATTCCATAGACGGACTCTTCTTTAGTTGAGACTATAAACTATAGATTATTAAATAGTTGGGACTGCAGACTATTCTATAGTTGAGAGTATGGACTTTTCTATAGTGGAACTATAGACTATAGACTCCTATAGTTGAGGCTATGGTTCACTTTTTATATGAGTCTATAGACTACACTATAGCCTATTTTAACTTCGGCACTAAGGTCTACTCTATAGTCGACATTATTAACTAATCTACAGTTGAGACTGTAGACCACTTTATAGGTGAGAACATAGTAGATTATATAGTATACTCTATATTCGAGATTATAGACTAGGCTATAGAATAACCAACAGTAGAGACTATTATATACTATAATATAGTCCAGATCATTGAGTATTCTATAGTCATGTCTGTAAAATATTCTGTAGTCGAGACTATAGAGTATTTTATAGTCGGTACTTCAGAGGAATCTAGTCCATAGAGAAGACTACACTATAGTTAAGTCTATACACTACTCTAACTTCAATGCTACGATCTACTCTATAGTCGACGCTATTTACTAATCTACAGTAGAGACTATAAACCACTTTATAGATTGAAATATATTAGAGGATATAGTCTACTCCATATTCGAGATTATGGACTACTCTATATGCTATAGAATAACCAACATTCGAGACTATTATCAACTCTATAGTCGAGATCACCGACTATTCTATAGTGATGTCTTCTATAGTCGGTCCTTCCGATGAGTCTATAAACTATAGTCGAGACTACAGAATATTTTATAGTTAAGGCTATTGACCATTCTGTAGTCGTAACTATATTCGAGACAAGTTAGTTCCATAGTAGTGACTACTCTACAGTTGAGACTATGAGCTACCCTGTGGTCGGGATAATTGACAACTCCTTACTCAAGACCTGCTCTATATTATAGGCTATGATCTAGTCAATAGTCAAAACTAGGGACCAATCAATAGACGAGACTGTAGACCACTCTATAGCCAAGAATATGAACCACTCTCTAGTTGATAAACTACTCTATAGTCGTGACTAAAGTCTATTCCTTTGAATCACATCTGGTCCCTTTGACATTTTAACTGGTGGACATCATATTAGCCATTCACTGGACAAGATCGAAGCACAAAAAAAAAACTTATAATCACAAGTGTATCATAACAATAAATAAAATGCAGCTAAATGATCCTTTTTTATGTGAGTTAAAATCCAAAATACAAGAAAAAACTACAACAGCTAACAATCTTCAGACACTAGCTGCTTTTCGGAGGATACTACTTATTGCCAACAGAAAAACAAAGCACCAGCAAAAAATTAAAACAACAATAAATACTTAAGCAAAAAAAAAAAAAAAATGTTGAAGTATAGTTAACCATTCATACTGTCAGTTAAACGTCCAAGCAAACACAATTCCATCCATTCAAAACAAGGTTGAGCCATCGTCATCAGCATTGTTGTCGTAACAGGAGCGCGAATACTATGTTTATCTTGATTGGGCTTCTTTTTTTATTTTGGTTAGTGTTCCTGTTGAAGTTATTATTGGATTTTTTGGTTCTTTTTTTTTGGATTTCTTGTATCACTTGTAAATGTGAAACAACACTTACAAAGAATTCCTTGGCAGTATATATACATTCATGAACATATATGAACCATTGGAAAAGGAACAGGATTCCATTGCAGCACATGTTTATATGATTATTATATATATTTTCGTGTTTGGTGATTTTTTTTTCATAATTCTACCTTGATACTGGCAAGATACCCTACTCATTATTGGAGAGAGGTAGCTTGATATTAATGTAAAATGTTGACAGCTGTTTTTCGTGAATGACAACTTACTCTCGACCATACCAAAGATATGCTTGTCGGGTTTAGTTTGTCAGATTTAGATATATATTAAAAGTTACTTTAAATATCCATCCAAATGAATTAAAGCAGTTACTACTGCTGGTATCCTCGGACTAATCTATTTCAAGTTATTTTATAAAATCTGGAGTAAACAAAATGGTGAAATGTCACGTAGTGCCAAATCGGGGGACAGCAATTTAATGATCTCAAATGTATGTGTTTTCTAATATACATACCTATATTCAGATTGTGATAAATTTTTATAGTAAAAATTATTCTCTTATTTCAAATGTAGTGCCCTAATTAGTCGTCTTTTATTTTTAATTTAAAAAGATGTGATTTTTTTTAAAATTTGTTTCATATATTTACTCTGGTATGCAATCTCAGTTGTTTTAACGATTAATTTAGTAAATATGCTGGACGTAATATAAGAAAAAAAAAAATTAAAATAATTCAAGGTCAAAATATTTTATTAAGACGAAATGCAAGAACAAAAAAAAAACTTTTAAAACAGTGCAAAATTGTGCAAATTATAGTTTTTTGAAAAAGTTGCATTTTCAAAATCTGCGAAAAAAATTTATAATTTATTGCTTTGATGAAGATTTTTGAAATTGCAGTCGAATTATTAAAGTCAAGAACATGGACTACTCTATAATCAAGACCTTAGACTGATTTATAGTCAAGACCATATACTATAGAGTAGTATAGTGAAGGCTTTAAGATTAGACTTTAGACTACTCTGTGATTGATATTATAGACTACTCAATAGTCGAGACTATAGATTACTGAATAGTCGAGACTATAGACTACTCTATAGACGTGACTATAGACTGCTCTATAGTCGAGACTACAGACTACTCTGTAGTCGATACTACACTATAGACTACTCAGTAGTTGAGGTTATAGACTACTCCATAGTCTACCGACAACTATAGACTACTCAATAGTCGAGACTATAGACTAATCTATAGTCGAGTCTATATACTACTCTTTAGTCGAGAATACAGACTTCTCGAGATTATACACTACTCTTTAGTCGAGACTATAGATTACACTATAGACTGCTCAGAGACTATAGACTATTCTATAGTCGAAACTATAGACTATTCTATAGTCGAGACTATAAACTACTTAGAGTCGCGACCATAAACTATTCTATAGTCAAGACCATAGACTATTCTATAGTCGAGACTATAGACTATTCTAAGTCAAGACTTTAGACTGTGCTATAGGCAGAAATATAGATTGCTCTATAGTCTAGACAATAGGCTACTCTATAGACGAAACTATATACTGCTCTGTAGTCGAGACTATATAGTACAACTCTATAGTCGAGATTATGCACTAATCTTTAGTCGAGACTATAGATTACTCTATAGACTACTCTATAGTTGAGACTATAGACTGCTTAGAGTCGAGACTATTGACTATTTTATATTTGAGATTATAGACTATTCTGTAGTCAAGACTTTAGACTATGCTGTAGGCAAGAATAAGGATTGCTCTTTTGTCAAGACAACAAATGCTCTGTAGTCGACACTATATACTACTCGATAGTCGACACTACAAACTACTCGAGATTATACACTACTTTTTAGTCGAAACTATAGATTACTCTAAAGACTACTCTGTAGTCGAGACTATAGACTACTTAGAGTCGAGACTATTGACTATTCTATATTGGAGAATATAAACTATTCTGTAGTCGAAACTATAGACTATTCGATAGTCGAAACTATAGTCGAGACTATTCACTACTATATAGTCGAGACTATAGACTACTCTATAGTAGAGAAAATACATATTTCATAGTCGAGACTTAGACTACTCTATAGTCGAGACTATAGACTGCTCCATAGTACAGAGTACAACTTTATAGTCAAGACAATTTTATAGTCTATAATCGAAACTATAGGTTACTCTATTGTCGAAACTTTAGATTACTCTATAGTCGAGGCTGTAGACAACTCTACTGTCGAGTATTTAGACAAATCTCTGGTCGAGACTATAAGCTACTCTATAGACAACTCTATAGTCGAGACTAAATATTATTCTATTGTTGAGGGCAGACGGTAGTTTTTTTATATATTCGAGAAAAATCTAATAATTGACACGAATATCCACCAATGAACAAAACTCATATTAATTTCAAAATTTTATGACAAATTCCTATGCACTTCTGTTATACAACCAAGGAAACTATTTCATTAATTAAAAAACTCATTCTAACACATTTTAAACAA